CGGACCACCCAGAGCTGGGCTCTGCCTGTCCCATTAATGGGGCCTGGGCAGGAGCTCGGGGAGCAGCCGCGGGACAGGGGGGCTGCTTTAGCCTGGACGGGGCATGAATGCTTTAATCAAAAAGGGAAAAATCAACTGACAAGAATTTTAAAGGAAACCAGGATGAGTAGGGGGCGGTACGTAAGAGGAAAACCAGTTCCAGAGGGATAATGACGATCAGAATAAAATAACAGTAACACGCCCAGCTGACGGCCCGTGCTCCCAGCGCGCCTTCCCGCGCATTAATGAGTCCTCATCAGAATCCTCTGGAGCAGGATCTGTATCATCCCCATTTTACAGATGAGGAAACTGAGGCACGTGCAGCTAAAATACCAATCGACAGTCAGCTCTGGGGATGAACAGGAAGGAATTGGGGAGAAACAGTTGGGAGAAATTTTGTTTCTCTGTAATGTTTGAGATTTTTACGTTGAAAATATATTCGTGAGTTACACTGACTACAGTAAAAAAAAAAAACACATTTTTTTTAAAGAAATGGAACGAAGGGAGTTTAAGGCAGAACACCACGGGTAAACCTCGGGGACCTGGCTCCAGACCAGCCCCCAGTCCTGCAGTGAACGACGTGGAGGAAAAAGGACCTACCCGAGGCTGGCTCGTCCATGGAAAACGCCTTGTTCTCCACAAACATGCTCTGGCCCTTCTGCTCTTTCAGGATGGTCTCGTAGCCCACGCCCCGGGTGGGGTACAGGTCCCCCTGGTAGCTCTGCTCCGGGCTGGCCTTGGTCACCTGGGACACCTCCGGGATGACGTAGAAGAGGAGAAAGGCCCAGGCGTTGGCGGCCAGGGCGATGGCCAGCGTGGGGTCGTCCCAGGTGGGCCTGTTGCGCTGCCGGTTGCCGTAGGTGTACATGATGATCCACACCACCCAGATGGCGATGGAGGCGGCCGTGGTGAGCAGCACGAAGAACCCGTGCTTCCGCCAGCGCTTGAAGCGGCCGCACAGGGCGGGCCAGGCCCCCGCGAAGGCGCCCAGCAGCAGCAGCATGACGTAGAT